AATATGAGATAAGTACATAAGTTAAGAGTTTTTAATGTTTGAAATTCCTTCTCTCTCACAATGTTCCCACCACTAACATACAAAAAATAAATCTCTCCACAATTCCTATTCTTAATACAACTGGAAAAAAGCAGGGACAGAAAAATCACTAAAATTAGGTGAAAAAAAAAGTATTTTCAAGATAACACAGCTAATAGCAAAACAAATCTCCAAGTTTTCTACCTGAAAGAAAAAAAAAAAAAAAAAAAAAAAAAAAAAAAATTAAAAAAAAGATCCTTTTCCCCGAGGACATCACTGTGAAAAAAAAAAAACTACTCAAAAAAATGTAGTTACATGATCTGTCCCCAAAGAAGCAGATCTTTCTTGAGGGAAGGAGAGGGCTGGGGAGGGTTATACTATTTATATACAAGGCTCACTTGACTGACAGAGCTAGTAATTTTTCCATTTCTACCTGAGAACAGCAACAAATCCAAAAACCTCAGAAAAGTCCTCAAAATACCCCTGTAGACCTCTCTAGTGAGAATTATGGCAGATCCTACTGACAGTCAGTGGATGACAATATTTGGAAAAATATGTTTACACATAAGTGAAGAGGGTCTCTAGAAGTACCTATGAAATGTCCCTCTTCAGTGCTTTACTGCATGAAGAGCAGAAACATTCACAAATGGCCATATAGACCCCTTGGTGAACTGAAATTCAAGGAAAAGACGAGACTCAAGCAAGAGCTCATTATGGGAGTATGTCAAGACAATTAGACGGGTTCACAGACTATAAGAAAAGGAAGTAGCTATGATTATCTCAACACTGAAGAACATGTAATTTTAAAAAACATGGAGAAATCAGGTTCCTTATACAGAAGGAAATAAAACAAATATTAGGTGAAGCCATAGAATTTTTATGAAAGTTACAGGGCATTTTAATGTGTCTCTAGGTATAAAAATCTTATGATCTCTTTATGTTTGTAATATAAGGAGGTCACCTCCCAACGGAATAAAAAACAAAAAAAGGGAAGGGTGATGCCTCCATGGATATAGAAATCAGAGAACACAACCAGGCATGACAGTGCAAGCCTGTCATCTCACTGAGGCCATACAGTAATGAGTTCCAGGCCAGCCACATAGCTGGCTCAAAAACAAACAAAAGAACAAAGAGGGAAGGAAGAAAGAAAGCAGAAAAGGAGGAAGGAAGGGGGTAGGAGGGAACAGAGGGGGAGCTATTAGAGAACATACTGGGAACAAATCTATAATGCGTTTTAAACTGTGACATTTACAGACAGTCATTTATCATTGTTTGCAGTTTACTGCCCTTGTATTAAGGATATCCACAAATAGATGAGAAATAAATCTAGTATAAATAAAAGTAAAAAGAACACTAGGTCAGAATGAACCACACTAATATCTCATGGCAAAAAGGACAGAAGGGGACAAAACGGAGAGATGAGCTTAATAGCCATTCCAGACCCATTCCTCTTCCAGATCTCCATGAGTAGAAAAAGAAAATAACTGGTTGCATTTAAAGCACAAGAATGGGACTTGAGGATAAAGTAGTTACAATTTCCTAGGACACATTAGTAACTTGAGTCTGGGAGCCCCAATTCCACTACCGGGCTGAAATGAGTAATGACATGGAAGGAGGAACCTCAACGGGAACCTCCACTGCACTGAATTTTCCCCAGTATGTAAAGATTAGGGTTATAGTTTCTTTGACTGAAAAATTCTCTAAATGTGAGATAAAGATAAAAATATAATTCAACTACAGAATAATAATTCCTAAATCATTAATGAGCTTTTTACTTTGGTAATCAATAGGCATTGGCTGTGTTTAATAGCAAATGATAATTATTCTAAGACTGCACTCCATGCATATAAAACACTCTGGAATAAAGTGTATCTATGTACTTATGTATATCAATACTTATATCAAAGTATATTAATGTCACCAATTCATAAGCATGCTTTTACTTGGTCAGTTATTGCATCAAGTTCGATAATACAGCCAGGGCGAGCAGTAGACTGCTGGCTCACAATGTTAAACACTTCTCCAATAAGTTTCTGTAAACAAAAAAATGCAAACTGTTAAATGAAATTTATGAGTCCGCCAACATAGATAGCATCACAGACATTAAAACTTGCCAAACTAATCAATGACTGACAATGACAATTAATATTCAAAGAAATACTTCAACTTTCTATTCTGTTTCATTTTTAAAGTTAATTAAGAAGTTCGAAAAACTAACAATATTTACATAAGTACTGTAACTTTAAGGCATCTAGCTACTTCAACATATAATCATTATTTTTGCAAATTAAGTCCAAGGTAAATATGGCTAAGGATCTAGCCTAATGCCTGAGTCTGTGGCAAGCAAATGTGCAGTGTTATTTAAAAGTACAACTCTTAGCCGGGTATGGTGGCACATGCCTTTAATGCCAGCACTTGAGAGGCAGAGGCAGGCGGATCTCTGTGAGTTCAAGGCCAGCTGGGGTCACAGGGAGGGAGACCCTGTCTCAAAAAGACCACAAAAAATAAAAGTACAACTCTTGTATGAAATATATCAAAATTTTTTTTTAAAAGTTAGGGAACCACAAAATATTAAAAGCCATGAAAAGAAAAAAAAAAGATGATTAACACATAACACATAGTTTATTGTATTGGGAACTAAATAAATCAGTATTATTCACTTTAAACCTAGAAAAATAAAAGTACAACTCTCACTGGGCATGGTGGAATTTATGTCTATTCTTATGAGGGTATTTCAGTCTTGACTGCATGTTGGAAATACCAGAGGAGCTTAGAGAACTCATGATCAGATTGTACCTGAGACCAACAAATCAGTCTCTGAGTGAGACCTAAGCATCAATGACTGGTGAAGTTCTTGGAGGTGGGGTGTCAATGAGCAGCCAAGATATACCATCAACCACAGCTACACTGTTTTATGTGTGTGCAGTGCTGGGGGTGGAACTTGGAGCCCTGCATATGCTTGTATATGCTCTACCACTTAGCTGCACCCCAGTCCTTGACTGGAACTCACTATGTAGCCCATGCTGGCCTTGAAATTAGATCCTCCTACCTCAGCCTCCTGAGTGCTGGAAATAGAAGCTTGCTCTACGGTGCTCATCTTCCAGCAGTACTTCTTCTATTTTGGTGGGGGGGATCATTTTTTGAGACAGGGTCTCCCTGTAATGGAGCTGGCTTGGACCTCACTATGTAAACCAGGCTGGGCTTGAACTCACAGAGATCCACCTGCCTCTATCTCCCAAGTGCTAAGATTAAAGAAAGGCATGTGGCACCATGTCCGGCATAGCAATACTTCTTAAACTTTTCTATATACATAAGTCTGGAGATATTGTTGACATGTAGCTGTATTACACTGAGGCCTGAGGGTGCACTTATTTATTTATCTTTTATTATTTTTATTTTATGTATATGCATGTATTGCCTGCATGTAGGTAAGTGGACTCATGTCGTGCAATGCCCACAGAGAACAGAAGAAGCTGTGGGATCTCCTGGAACTGGAGTTACAGACAGTTGTTAGCTGCCATGTGGGTGCTGGGAACCAAAGACTGGTATTTTGCAAGAACAGTCAGTGTTCTTAACCACTGAGCCAGCTCTCCAGCCCGGGGGGTGCAATTTAAAAAGCTTTCTATAGTTGATGGTCTGTTGACACAGTTTGAGTAGCAAAGTTTTATTTTGTGGTAGAGAAATTCTGGAATTTTAGCCTCAGAAATTAAAGGCCACAGTTGAGTCTAGATTTCAATGAACAAACACAGAAGACTGCCAAAATCATTTGTAGGTATTTGAGCTAATACTTTAAATCCTTAGTCTTGGGTGATCTTACCTATTATAAATAAATTCAGTCCAAATTACTTATTTTATCTCTCTTGATCTAATAATGCCAGAGTCTACCCCCATACAGATTATCTGGAATCCTATCAATACAAAGTACAAAGATCCTACAATTCCGGTGTGGTGTGCTTTCCTTTTAAAGCTAACCTTAGGCTGAGTTTGGATGTAAGCTTATGTCCTGGAGGCAAGGAAAGATACTGGAGATGGGTATTGAGGGGAATGGGTATCTCTTTCTAAGGCATATATTTCAGGTGGGAGAGGGGAGACTTTAAGTTTGGGGAGTTTTAGACATCCAAAGTTTAGCTTTATGTGTTAATTCAAACATTGTCATTCTAAGAGACAGAATCCCACTTTCAGTCATGATCCCTGCATTCCATCTGGAGAGTTGTACCTTTTTTTTTTTTTTAAGTCTTTTGAGACAGGGTATCCCTGTAGCCCCAGCTGACCTGGAACTCACTATATAGACTAGGGTCTCCTGAGTGCCAAGAACTCTCTACCTACACTGTAACTAAAGAGTTTATCAACATAGACACCTACATAGAAATGACTTCACCTCCAACCACCAAACTTATTTTATAGTGCAATATAACACCAGAATTAGATTGGAGTGAGTATTCACCTTGGACACAAAACTTCAGGAGGTACACACACATACACACAAAAATCAAGAAAACATTTTTTATTTTATTGTTTTTATTTTTTGTGTATGATTCTATTGCTTGCATGTATGTAAGTGACCTGTGTCATGCAATACCCAAGGAGGTCAGAAGAGGACGTCAGATTCCCCTGGAACTGGAGTTACAGACAGCTGTTAGCTGCCATGTGGGTGATGGGACTCTATCCTGGGTTCTCTGCAAAAGCAGCCAGTGCTCTTAACCATTGAGCCATCTCTCCAGATCCAAGTTTTTCTTTTTTAATCATATTTTTATTGATTCTTTGAGCATTTTTTACAATGTATTTTGGTCATATTCAGATCCTCTCCCCTATCTCCTGACCTGAAACTCGCTATATAGACCAGGCTGGTCTGGAACTCACAGAGATCCACCTGCCTCTGCCTCCCAAGTGCTGGGATTAAAGGTGTGCACCACCAGTAATATTTTAATGTAATAGTTTTTAAAATAAAAAGTCAGGCAAAAAAAATCTATAACGCAGGGGGAGAGTTAGCTCAGTGGTTAAGAGTTCTTACTGCTCTTCCAGAGGACCAGAGTTCTATTCCCAGAACCTACACTGAGTGGCTCAGTCACCTATTAAATAAAATAAAATAAAATGTTGTGCTAAAAAACTTTCGTTGAGATGGGGGTCTCACTATATAGCCCAGGCTGGCCTCAAATGCACAGCTATTCACCTGCCTCTACTTCTGGAGTGATAGGATTAAAGGCATGTGCCACCATACCCAGCTGTGTTAAAATATTCTTATCCTAGCCAGGCGTGGTGGCGCATGCCTGTAGTCCTACTACTTGGGAGGCAGAGGCAGGCAGATCTCTGAGAGTTCAAGGCCAGCCTGGTCTACATAGTGAGTTCCAGGACAGCTGGGGCTACAGGGAGACCCTGTCTCAAAAAGACCAAAAAACAAAAAAATTCTTATCCTAAACCAGGCACAGTGACAAAAGCCTATAATACCAGCACTTAGTGAAGCAGAGGCTGAAAGATCACCACAAGTTTTTTTAACTATGTATTAATATATCTATGATTAAGTCTTTTGGTGTCCCTTTAAGTTTTAAGTTTAATACCAAAGGTGTAAATCACTTTATTAACATTTATCAATATCTGCACAGGTCTGATAACTTCCAGTGATATATTAATAATAATAAAAACAAACATTCACTGCTCCATTATGTGGAACACCATAAATTTATTTCTAATTACCTATAAAACAATGATCTAAACTACATTTAGAAATCTAAAACTATAACCACTTCACACTCAATATGTCCCCAAAATAAATTACAAACACCTCCCCTAAGTACCTTGCCACACCAGAACCATGATCACATTAGAAACCTCAGTTTCATCTGTATCCATATCCAAGCAACTACTAAGTGTGCTCTTCTCCTTTCCTATGTCCAACAAATCCCACTCCAGCTCCAGCCTTCTTAACCATAGTTAGTAGACCTCAGTAGACTCCTTGCTCTTGACGTATTTCCAGTACACACCCACTATACATCATCATACAAATTAATCGCTTTGCTTTGGTTCCCAATAATTTTCAATGATCCCTCTCCATCTATAAAGTAACACCAAAGAAACACCTCTCCATTTACAAAGTAACATTCAAATCTTGTCAATATCTGTTTTGGTGGGAGGTGGAGGGGTGGCTGGCATTTACTCAGAATCTGCTAAAAATCTAAGTTTGAGGAATAGGAAAGCATATGACAGCTTCTTGCTACTCTGACTCATGGTTAATAGCAGAAGTAACTGGGAGAACTTTTTTTTTAAAAAAGAAAAGAAATAGAATGAGCAGAAATAATGGAAACTTAACAGAAAGTAACCGTGTTACACTTAATTAAGATGGAAATAAGTGCAAAGCTCTGTAGTCTATGTTTCAGAAAGGCAAAACCTCCAATTCCTTAGAGCAGAGGGCTCTGAAAGTCAAATAGTTCAAGAGTCTAAAGGCCGAAGGGACTTCAGAGGCTCCAAACATATATACAACTATGCAATAAATATAATAGATAAGGAAACAGAAAACAGTGGCATTGACTGGAGTCATTCAGTTAAAAGCCAAGGAACACCAAGGATTGCCAGGAGCCACCATCACCTGGGAGAGGTCAGGAAGGATCCTCCCTGAAAGCCTGAGGACGCATGATCTTGACACCATGATTTTAAATTAGATGTATATGCACACCCCCAAAAGAGTCTTGTGAAATACATGAGGTAAAACTTAGAAATAGAGGTAAAAAAAAAACCCACAAATTCACAATTACAGTTAGAGACCAACACTCTCTCTCAATGTTTATAGAACACTGAGACCTTCCAGATGACATAAAATCAAGAATTCAGCAACAGAATCAATCAAAACAGGATCTAGGGTCTTGAGAGATGGCTCAGCACTTAAGAGGAATAACTGCTCTCCTAGAGGATCAAGGTTTGGTTCCCAGCTAACAACTATTCATAACCTCAGTTCCAGGGGATCTGACACCATCTTCAGGCATGCAAATGTTCCACTTGCTTAAATGCAGGCAAAACACTGATACGCATACAATAAAAATAAATAAATCCAAAAGCTTTTAAAAACAAGATCTAGACTCGGGCGTGATGGTATACACCTTTAGTCCCAGCACTCCAGAGGCAGAAGCAGGCAGATCTCTGTGAGATCAAGGCCAGCCTGGTCTACATAGTAAGTTCCAGGCCAGCTGGGGCTACAGTGAGCCCCTGACTCAAAAGGAAGGAAAAAAAAAAAAAAAAAAAAAAACATGATCTAGATGGGTTGGAGAGATGGCTCAGAGGTTAAGAATACTTGCTGCTCTTCCAGATGACCTAAGTTTGGTTCCCAGTACCCATATAAAGAGGCTCACAACTGCTTGTAACTCCAGCTCCATGGAATCCAGCACCCTCTTCTGACTTCCCTGGACACATGAACACCGGTTATATACACATAATTAGACACAAATACACATAAATGGAAATTTTTTTTAAATCTTAAAAAAATAACCAAATTAGAAAGTCAAAAATGACAATAATAAATAATAGTTTAGAAAATGGTATATATTAAATATACTGAGATGTAGCCTGTACCTTAGAATACAAATTAAGAATAAAGTTTTGTCATATATGTATGTATGTGTCCTACACAGCCAAAAACATATTTTCACTCCCTAAACACCAACTGACAAATAAGAGTCTTAGACAAACTGAAAAGAGATTTGTCAGCTTAGAAAAAAGATGAAGAAATACTTACTGAAGCTTCTGGGTCTGAAAGCTCATCTAATAATTTTCTTGCATCTACAACAGCTTGATAGAGTCGTAGATTTTTGCCATCAGATGCAACAAAGCAAGCACTTGCAGAATTGCAATAGGTGCCTGAGGAAAAATAAAGGCTTTGGGTTATAGTGTGTGGGTTATTTTTTAATTTACTCATTTAACTGAATTTTTGTGATTTTCTTTTTTTATATTTATTATTTTCATTGTATGTGCATGAGTACATTGCCTGCATGTATATAAGTGCACGCCTGCTGTGCAATGCCCATGGAGGTCAGAAGTGGGCATCAAATTCCCCTAGAACTGAAATGACAAATGGTTGTTAGCTACCATGTGGGTGCTGGAAATCAAACCCAGGTTCCCAGCCAGTGTTCTTAACAGATGAGCCATCTATCTCTCCAGCCCCTTGATTTTCATAGAACATATTTCGATGGTATTTAGATTTCCTCCCCAACCCACACCTCCACTCCCCTTGTTCTCCCCCACCCAATTTGATATTTAAATATCAATTATAATTAATAATGTACACACAAACATCTACACACACACATATAGAATAAGGTCTATAGGGTCTAATTTGTCTTCCCAAATGTCCTTCAGCATGGGTCCAACCACTGGAGCCTGGTTAACCTAGAGAGAGTTCCATCCTTGAAAGAGATGGTTTTTTATTATTGACTAAGTAAAAAAACAAATATTAGGGCTAGAGAGATGACTCAGCAGTCAAAAGCACTTGGTTGTTCTTGCAAAGAACTCTGGTTCGGTTCGCAGCACCCACACGATGGCTAACAACTATCCATAACTCCATTTCCTGGGGATGTGACACTCTCATCTGGCCTCTTCAGGTATTGCACGCCTGTGGTACACTTATATAATATAGGCAAAAACTCAGACATAAAATAAAAATAAATCAGAATTTTTAATCCACACTTTTCTCTTTAGTCATAACTATAGTCCAGAATCATAATGAAATGGATACAATTTATAGACATAAACTTATTAACCAAAAATACAGTAGAAAAAGATAAGAGGGAAAAGATTTTTGAAAAAAAAAATTCTAAAGATAAGCCCATACCTACATTTTGACAACCTATTAAAAAAAGGTCTTGAGCCAGGCGTGATAACACAAGCCTTTAGTCCCAGGACTCAGGAGGCAGAGGCAGGCAGATCTCTGTGAGTTCAAGGCCAGCCTAGTTTACAATGACAGTTCCAGGCCTGCTAGAGCTACAGGGAGACCCTGTCTCAAAATGACAAAAAAAAAAAAATCTTAATCTTTAACTGATTTCCATAGTGGCTGCATCAGTCATTAGCACTGGATAAGAGTTCTTCTTTCCCCACATCATGGGGAGAGGGATGCATATGGGGAGGGGATCTAAATATGATCAAAATATATTGGCTGAAATTCACCAAAAAAAAAAAAATCAACTAAAAACTTGGGGGGGGGGTATCAATAACAAATACAAACGATTTTGTGAACCAGGTATGTTGGCTCACACCTATACTGTCAGCACTCAAGAGGCAGAGGCAGAGGCAACAAGATCTCAAGAAGTTTTAGGCCAGCTTCATCTATATAGCAAGTTCAAGACTATGCTGTCTCAAAAGAAAAACAACAAAACAAAACCAAGAAAGAAAGAAGGAAGGAAGGGAGGGAGGGAAAGGGGAAAGACAGAGAGACAGAGAGAAAGAGAGAATGAAATAGATTTTGAATAGAAGAAATAATAGTTCTTATTTATAAATGAATACTTACCAAGACAATAACTAGGAATAAGAGTTGGAAGCCATGCCACATTGGAGAAGGCTGAGGTATGTAAAGAGTTAATTCGAGCCAATTCTGACACTCCTCCAGTGTATGACAAAGGTCCTATGGGGTCCACACGCCACAGAATAAGTTCACTGTAGATTGCATTTGGATCATGAAATGTACGAGTTGCTGCATTCCTAAGTGGCTGCTTTGATGAACTTTTTGTGTGTTTTACAGGATCTATTAATCTACTTAATTTACTGTCTGAGTCCCACTGACAATCTGATTCAGGAGTCAACAGAGCATTGTGATGGGAAGATGTCAGCAACAGTGGTAAAACTGAATGGCATGCCAAGTCATTGAGGTGGAAACGGTGACCACAGTATCGGAATTTGTGGGATACAGTCAAAACAGTAGTAAAGGCAGATTTATCAGCAAAAGTGACTGCCCACTGATTCAAAGACCCATCTATGTGTTTAGAGACCATCATTACCGTGGGTGCTAAAATGTTCATATCTGTACTGCGTGATCGCGAGTGTGGCTGTGATTCATGAAGACTATCTACAGACATCAGCTCTGGGCATAATGGGGTATGGTGTGAGTCTTTTGTAACATTTATACAAGCATACATCATTATGTTTTTACTAAGAGAGCTTGCGTCCCCAGAGGGAAATGCAACAGGAATCCGAGAAGAAAAGGAAACCTGAAAAATACAAATATTTGATTCAGTACAGTTTGCCTTCTCTCAAAATAGTCTTGCAAAAAACATTTCTATTTTCAAAATGCAAAATCTCAGCTTCCTAGCAAAAAATATTATTTTAAACCTCTGCATAGTTTAATCCCTTTCTTCTACTTATATAACATATCACTGTTACTCATGTCCAAATAGAAGATTGGAAAAAATAAAAGTTTCAAACTTGCTTAAAATAGCCACAAACATGGACTTAAGTTATAATAAAGCTAAGAAAGATAACAGACAAAAGCTGCTTAATCTAGCTTATAAAACTGAAGATGAGCCAAGTGTAGTGATACAAGCCTGTATCACCAGCACTTGACAGGTGGAAGCAAGAGGATCAGGAGTTAAAAGTCATCCTCAGCTACATAGGTAGTTGGAGACCAACCTGGCTTCATGAGACCCAGTCACAAAAGAAAAAAATAAATAAATAAAGGGGGTGGGAAACCCTGAAAATGAGGGAACCTCATATTTGCAGGAGAGCTTATTCAAAATATTATAACTTCTCATAAAAATTAACCTGTAAGTAGTCAAATATTCAGTATTTCAGAAAGAAAAAAAGCCAATATTCACTTTCTTTGGACTAAGTTTGCAAAATGTACCCTTACTGATGCTCTTTGAAGCACCTTCTCAATTGCTTATCAAACACAACTTTTTTAGTAATTCTGAAAATCTGTGAGGTCTATATGACATCTTGCTATTGTTTAAACACAGCATTTTCATCTGGAAAATATACCTGGACTTGTCTAAATATTCCAGGATTATATTCATCCAAATACTTTACATGCCACACTAGAAAGGTACCATCTACAGGGTGTATTGTGAAAAGCATGTCAGGATTCTTATTCCATTCTGCCAGCAGCATTTCAATCTTCCGATCAAGCAGGACTGTAGGCAGTGGCATTGGGATGCTAGGTTGTGAGTAGGTTCTAGGACTTCCTTCTCTTTCTCCCTCTTCATGTTCTGATGATCCTGTACCTGCCTCAGATTCTCTATCCAGAGATAATTCTAAATCAGAAAAGACATTTATCAGAATACATATTAAATAATACTACAAAAATTCCTTTCCAAACTATAAATCCCTTTTCTAATTTATGACCAAGAAATTTAATTTCTTGTCTGAACTGAAATTACTCTATTACTATTTTTAGATAAATGAAAATTGTACCTCCACTATCATTTTTATAATTTGAAAAACCTATTTCACAAAAAAAGTATATGGCTTCCAAACTAACACATTACTCATGCCTGGCATGGTGGCACAAGTTTGCAATCCCAGATACTCAAAAGGGTGAGGCAGGAAGAATCCAAGTTCAAGGCCAGACTGGCAATTTAGCAATGCCCTGTCTCAAAATAAAATGAAAATGATTGGGGGCATAGATCAGTCATAGATACTGCTAGCATGCATGAGGCCCTGGGATTAATCACTGTATCCCAAACAAAATAAAACACCATACAGCATTAGATGGTGTTTGGTCTAAGGCAAATGATCAATCCTTGTGGAACAGAAAGACAAAAAGGGAGAAAGGAAAGGAAAAATTTCCAACTAAAGGAGGTACCACAGAAAGATGTGTTTATCTCTGGTGAAAAAAAATCAAACACAGGATACAAACCATGGTCTAATTTCATATGTAAGCCCCTCTCTCTTTCCTCCTGTGAACGTTCTTCATCTTCTCTATCGGCATCATCACTTTCATGATCTAACTGTTTTTCAGAAAGTTTTCGTAATTGGTGCATAAATATTTCAGTAGATGATGTAAAATGAAATTCCTTATTATTTAACCAATGAACTACAAAACCCCCATTTCCTTCATCGATGTTAAACACAGTGCCAACCAGGACATTTGGAATATCTGTGGGGAAAAAAAAAATAGCTTTCAATATGATGTTTCAACTTCTTTAAAAGTACAACAAGTGCTAGTAATGATTATTCCTATACTTATACAGGAAAGGAGCTAACAACAAGTCAGTATGATTCTACCAAGATTTGCAAAAACTTTCACTGAATTTAATGGTAAATGTAAATACTAAGGACCACTGGCATGGGCGTACATGAAATTACATTACAATGCTAATTTCAAAACTAAATATAGCAACACATAAACCTTAATTGAATCTTACCTTTGGTAGAGAGGGGTAGACACAGCTTTAAGAAATAACTAACTGAAGAAGTTTAAATATGAGCTGGGTATTAGACACTCTGGAATAATGTAGCAATTTTCTTAGGTATGACAATGATAGTGTGATTACGTGAGAGAATTTCCTCACTCGTAAAGGATACCTGCTGAAGTGTGTAATTAATGTTCCATAAGTGCAACTTTGAAAAGATTAAGAAAAAAAATCTCATTTATTATTTTAACAACATAAACTTGCTTCATATTACTTCTCAGCCAGATGAGAAGATAGAAGAAAATACCAAGGTTAAAAACAACAGTCTCACTCTACATTAGCATAGGCTAAGAAAAATCTACAGAGAAAAACAGACTATGCTGACATATAAAAAATACTTAGATAAGATTATATTAAGAAGAGCTAAGAATAGTTAAAATATTAAGGGACAGAAATTACACTAATTAACCAGGCAAACTGTGTTCCCAGATTCAACTAAAAATCCAATTTACTTGGAACTCTTGTTATAGTCTAGACAAAGATGTCCAAAATACTTACAGAAATTATACCCTGAGAATCACCTAGTTTCAAGTGAAGAAAGGGTACCTTATATTATATTCCCACTCTAAATAAGAAGTATTTAAAAAGAGAAGACAGAGTAATAACATAAAGTAAAAACTAGGTTATAAAAGTAACACTATTTTTCAGCCAGGCATGGTAATACAAGCCTTTAATCCCAGCACTTGGAAGGCAGAGGCAGGCAGATCTCTGTGAGTTTGAGACCAGCCTGGTCTACATAGCCAAGTTCCAGGCCAGCCAGAGCTAGAGGGAGACACTGTCTCAAAAAGATTTTTTTTTTAATGTAATACTATTTTTATGGGGCTGGAGAGATGGGTCAGTGGTTAAGAGAACTGGCTGCTCTTGCAGAGGACCTAGGTTCAACTCCCAGCACCTACATAGCAGCTAGCAACCATCCGTACCTCGTTCCAGGGGATCCAACTCCCTCTTCTGACTCCAAGGGCAATGCACAACACAGGTGCACTTACATACATGCAGGCAATACACTCATAAACATAAAGCAAAAATAATAATTTTTTAAATGATTGAGATGTTCTGTGTGAGATACACAAAAATTCAATTAAAAATTAATTAAAAATAAAAGTCATACTATTTTTCAAATAAAACTTTATTCTCCTTTACCTGTGGCAGGATTGATGCTTGCTGCGATGTGAAAATGACACAGTGCATTGGCGTGGTGGGAAATGTGTCTTTGAACTTCATGGGTTGCTGTTTGGTCAGGCATCAATTCAGTGTGAGTTATAAGAACAGAAGATCTCCTTTGTCCTTTCCTTAAATTCTTCAAATGGTGTATTGTCTAAAATAAAAAAAGTAATTGCTGAACCCAACTCTGGAAGGTCTAATAAATACCAACCAAAGAAGTTTTTGGTTATTAAGGATTTTAAGATTTTCTCATAGAACCTATTTTAAAGTAAATTTTCTTACAGTGCAACAATTTTAGATATATTCTCTACAGTTCTTATAAATTTATTAGTTCAATGCAAAAAGCAGTTGTTTAAAAGTACTTAATGCATGGTATCTAAAAAATATGAATAAAGGCCCTGATTAAGATTAGAAGGTGGTGCATGATGGTACATGCCTTTAATCCCAGCACTCAGGAGGCAGAGGCAGGCAGATCCCATAAGTTCAAGGCGAGCCTGCTCTACATAGCATGTTCCAGGCTAGCTAGGACTACACAGTGAAACCTTGTCTCAAAAAACAAAGTGAGGAGTTTCACAGGAAATGGTAACAGAAAGCTAAATAGGCTAGTCAAGCTCTCTAACCATTGAACTACTGCCTCAGCCTTGACCTACTGGATTTAAATTGAGATGTATTTATACAATAAAAACCCTTCATCATATACATGAAATTGGGCTTTTTCTTCTAAAAAAGTATTTGAGCATTATTAATAACACTAGTAAAAAATAGCAAAAACTTGTCCAATCACTGATTTGCTAAATCATCTCAACACTTAAAAAAGAAACATATCAGGCAGGATACAAAGATGTACAGAAGTCCTTAGTCATCAGGTACTTATGCACAATTTGAAGATAAAATATGTTGTATAAATATACAAAAATGATAGCAAACATAGTATTTCAGTAGTTTGTCCCTTTAAATTTCAATGTTTAAAAAATACATAACTTGAACTGTTCTGACTTCTACTCTCAATTCATTTATGCTTTGACATTGAAAAAAATGCATGAATAGAGCCCAGTCATAGACAGTAGTAGTACACAGTCATCAAAGCCTGCTTACTTCATATAAATGCAAAAATATCATATCTTTGACTACTGCTTTGTATTCATTAAACACACATCAGAGCTTATCAGAAGTAAAAGGCTGGTCGGGATGGCAAAAGAAAAATAAAATAAAATAAAAATACCATATCCTTGAAATATCATATCAAATTCATAAAATATTTCCACTTCACAAAAGAGCAAAGTCCCTTGGACTATACAGTCATTAAACTATTAATGTAAGTATGTAACATACAAGTATAATCAGTAATAGTGTTTATAACATTAAATACGAAAACAAGTTATGAAACATTTCCACATATATAAAGAGAAACAGGGAAGGCCAGGTGTGGTGGTGCCCACCTTAGTCCCAGCACTCAGGAGGCAGAGGCAGGTGGATCTCTGTGAGTTCAAGGCCTGCCTGGTCTACATAGGTGAGTTCCAGGCCAGCTGGGGCTACAGGGAGACCCCATCTGAAAAACAAGCCCTCCCCCCAAAAAAAAGCTTGAAAAACTAGGCAAAATAATCTTTAAGGAAAAACAAAAACAAACAAACAAACAAACAAACAAACAAAAAACAGGGGCTAGAGAGAAGGCTCAGTGGTTAGGAGCACTGGCTGCTCTTCCAGAGGACTCAGATTCAATTCCCAGCACCCATATGGCAGCTAACAACTCTAGTTCCAGGGTATCTGAGACCCTCTTCTGGCCTCCATAGGCATTGCATGACACAGGTGTAGGCAAAACATACACAAAAAATTAAAGAAAATAAATAAATAATTTTTTGGGTCTTTTTGAGACAGGGTCTACCTGTAGATCCAGCTGGCCTGGAACTCCCTTTGTAGACCAAGCTGGCCTTGAACGCAGAAATCCGCCTGCCTCTGCCTCCCAAGTGCTGAGACTAAAGGCGTGCGCCACCACACCCGGCCTTTTCACCTTTTCTTAACACAGTTTTAGAGTAAGGGTATCTTTCTTGTATAATAAAAAAATCACATATCTACTGCATAAAACAAGTAATTTTTTAATAATATGTATATATGCCTTGTCCATGGTCATATCACCTTGACAACACCCAATCTCCTTTGAATAATATGTAGACTTCATTTTGTTCCTCAGTCATATTAGACATGGTAGTTTATGCAACATATTACAATCCAATTTCTTATAAAAAAAATTTTTTAAATATACCTTATTTTGCTTCGATTTCTATTCCATTTTACTCTTTCTATCCTAGTCTACTCTGAGACACGGTCTCATGTAGGCCAGCTGGCATCTAACTTGCTATGTAGATGAAGCTAAACTTAATATTCAGTCATGGAAACTGTAAAGCAATGATGAGTTCACTTGTACCTAAAATATTTTTTCTCATGTAGCTGAGAATGACCCTGAACTAATGATCCTCCTGCCTTCACCTCCTGAGTGCTGAAATTACAAGGCACGCACCACTATACCCAGTTTCTAGTATTTTTTTTTCAGTTTGTTTTGTTTTGATTTGTTTTGTTTTCAGTCAAAGTCTATGTAGTGCAGGCTGACCTCAAATTCTCAATCTTCATGTCTCTGTCTCTCAGGTTATAAGATCACAAACATGCACCACCACACCCAACTCTACCATACACAGCTTCTCTGCCTAACATATTAATAAACAATTAGTCTTAAGGAACAAAATAAAAAATAATTTATAATTAATTTCAAGGACCTTTACACATTTTTACTAAAACTACTTACTTGTACAGATTTTGACATCTGACCTGCAAAATGAAAAATATTAAACTTACCTAGACTATGTAACTAAGATGACTACTACCTACACTTAGCTTCATAATGGGATAAAAATGACTAATCTCACAAGTATAAAGTGAGAATTTGCAATTAATTTCATCACTTCATGTACATGTGTACCATCTGTACCTTATTTTTAAACTTCATATTAATATAATACCTCAAGAGCATGTTGGATTCTGTCTTTGTGCCTTCCAGCATGAGAAAGGCTGCTGGCGAAGCTGGAGGTAGTGGTCTCACAAATCTGCTCACCCAAAAGACAGTCTTCTGGTAATAAGGTTTCTGCCCAAAGTCGACATACACCATCATGGCATGAAGTTAGTAGCACATTACAGACAGAGCCCCTAACAGCAACGAGAAATAAATAAATGATACTATAAATATCAATGTCATATACTGACTACGAGCTACTAATATTGACTCTTTTTTTAACTTTTTAAAAAAAATTTTATGTGTACTCATGTATCGCCTACATGTAGGTAAGTGCACCCATGTCATGCAATGCCCACAGAGGTCAGAAGAGGCTGTCGGATCCCCTGGGACTGGTGTTACAGACAGTTGTTAGCTGCCATGTGGGTGCTCGGATTCAAACCCAGGTCTTCTGAAAGACAAACCAGTGTTCTTAACTGCTGAGCCATCTCTCCAGCCCCCTAATATTGGCTCTTTATGTACAAAGATGGCATTAGCATAAAACACTATATGGAAAAAGTAATCAAGCCAAGGGCATGGTGGCACATGCCTTTAAAATCCCAGCACTTGGGAGGCAGAGGCAGGCAGATCTCTGTGAGTTCAAGGCCACCTGGTCTACACAGTGAGTTCTAGGACAGCTGGGGCTACAGAGAGATCCTGTTTCAAAAAGACCAAAAATTAAAAAAAAAAAAAATAGAAATGGTCTTCAGAGGGCAGGTTAGGACCTCCATCAGTGCAGCAGCTCTGATCTCAGCAGGCTGCCAGAGTTCTGGCCTCCCTTTGACAGAGGGCCTGAGAACACAGAGGACTGCCTGAGAGCCCCCAGATCCTGCCTCCACGTGGTGCTCCCATTCATGATTCAAGGACTTTCTATTCCCCTTAGAGTTATACAATCTGGGAGTCTTTTAGATAGACCCACTGAAGGGGTACTCCAATTGCCTCACCCTGCGTCCCTGTTCAGCATGAAGAAGCCAGAGTGGTCTGCGTCCTGATTCCCTAACTGCAAGCTGGGTAACCTCTTCAGAGGATGGTGTGATAAGAATAGGAGGTAAGAACTGGCTGGGCAGTTAGGGTAAAAAGACCCCAAAGAAAACTAGCCAGTTTCTTGGCTAAAAGTCAAAATGTCCTTGGGCCTATTTGGGAGATTACATCTAATCCTTAAAAGATTTTAGGGTTACCTCTTCAGAGGGGGGACTGTTAGAATAGCCAAAATACCCATAAAAATAAATAAATAAGTCAAAGAAGAAAAAAAAGAGTACATGAAGTTATCAGAAAAAAGTGATGGGGAGATATGGGAGGAGTTGGAGGGGAGGGAGTGGGCATGGATTTAATCCAAACTCCTTATATACTTATATGCCTGTATGAAATTCTCAATAAATTATTTTTTTAAAAAACTAGGTTCTAGATGAACATCAATTATCTTCTAATCAAACTAAACAACAAAAGACAACTTAATCTCTATAAACAAAGTAACCATAATAAAAGATCATTAAATGTAATTATTTCACTTATTAACAGTAGTTTTATCATTTTGTATGATCCTGACAATCCCAGGAGTTATAAATAGGTAAACAAATAAGGATCTTCATAAAACTGTAAGGCCATCATTACAAACTGTAAATCAATGTCCACTAATTTAAAATAAGTGAAAATGTCATAACATCAAGTAGCTAAAGTTAACTGCTCATTACGAAAGAAAAAATCTCAATCTCAACCTCTTTCTCTTTCTCTCTGTAGTGTATGTGCGTGTGCATGTGCACCTGCACATACACGTGTACACTTGAGCAAGTGTCTATCTGTATGTTCATCAGTCAAGTGTTACCCAGGATTAAACAGTGTCTTATACATGGCAGGAAAATGCTCCACCAACTGAGTTATAGCCTCCAGAAATTATCCTTTCCTTTAAAAGAACTGCTTATACAGAATCTGACTTAAAAAGTTTCAAAAGTATTTTTAAAAGCCAGGCATGGTGGCGCACGCCTTTAATCCCAGCACTCAGGAGGCAGAGGCAGGCAGAGCTCTGTGAGTTCAAGGCCAGCCTGGTCTACATAGTGAGTTCCAGGACAGCTGGGGCTACAGAGAGACCCTGTCTCAAAAGGACCAAACAAACAAAATAAAAAGCATTTTTAAAATGTATTCAATAGCTGAAAATAGCTTAAACAAAATAAATCTTTTAAAAACACAAATGTAAGCTGTTTTACTAATTATTTTATAACCACAACAAATAGATGTGGATATGTGGATTCAACCAACTATATGTCAAAAACATTTTTAAGAAAAACTACATCTGTACTGAATATTTACAGACTTTTTCATGGCATTTTCCCCTAGCAATGAAACAACGATTTACACAGCATTTATGTTGTAGTAGGTATTGTAAGTAATCTAGAGGTAATTTTTATATGGGAAGATGTGTGTAGATTGTATGTAAGGATTTGAGCATCTGCAGATTTTAATATCTTTGGGAAGTCTCAGAACCAATCCTTCACAGATACAGAGAAAAAATTCTTCAAACCAGGGTTGACAAGATGGTTCAGCAGTTCAGAGCACTTGCTATTCTTCCAGAAGATCCAGATTCAGTTCCCAGCACCACCCACATGGTAGTTTACAACCGTCTGTAACTCTAGTTACAGGGTATCCAATGCCCTCTTCTGGCCTCTGCAGGCACTGCATGCACAGACTGCACTTTCATGCAGGCAAAACACTCATACACATAAAAAATGAATATTTTAATTCTAATAAGCCAGATATGATGGCATGCACTTTTAATCCCAGCTCGTAGCATAGCACCATCTCAAATAAAATTTTGACATTATAGAAAATGGCAATTTCTGTCAACAAAAAATTGTTTAAAAATTCTTTAAGGAAAGCTGGGTATGGTGGCACAGACCCTTAATCTGCAGACAGAGGCAAGCAGACCACTGTGGAATCCAAGCCTACATAGTGAGTTCTAGGAAAGCTGAGGCTACATGGAGACCCAGTCTCAAAAAAAGAAATCCTTTGACAAGTCCTATTGGCAATCCTAGCATTAAATATAATGCTATAATTTACAGTTTATTCACTGTAAATTATATTCTTTACCAATATGTACATTATTGATAGTTCATCACTAAGCTTTACTTTCTTTCACTCAATGTGTGCTTTTCTATTTTCTTGCAAACATATGCTCTTTAGAATCTTCTAGCACTGCAGCTACTACTCACAATACCAGCTAACACTGTCTGGGAAAATCATATGTGCTGTGGCCTGTACTAAATATTTTGTGCCATTAACACATCTTTGTCTCACAATTCTCTAAGATAGTTCTATCACTACCCTCAAAGAGAAAAAATGAGGCAGGGAGAGCTTAAAAAATTTATCCCCGCCAGGCCTGGTGGTGTGCCTTTAATCCCAGCACTCAAGAGGCAGAGGCAGATGGACTGTCTGTGAGTTCAAGGCCAGCCTGGTCTACATAGTGAGTTCCAGAACAGCTGGGGCTACAGGGAGACCTTGTCTCAAAAAAAAAAAAATTTATCCCCAAGTTCACAAAGCTAGTGATAACAGCAGAACTTGAATTCAGACAGTTTCACTCCAATCTATTCTGATAATCACTATATATAAATACAGTGAAATATTCTATTTTCATTATTTTTATAAACATATGAGAATACAAACTAAATCTATATGAAATATTTATCCAACCTGGGCATATACTTGCTAGTTTTACGCCATGAAAAACCTGTCACTGCTCGAGGATGTGCCAAGTAAACAAAGGAAAACTGAGTAGAAGTCTGTCTCCTTTTCTCTTCATGATGATCCTGAGGTATAATTGAGGATTTCCAACCAGTCATAGGGTACCATACTTTCAGAAGACAATCATCCTGCAAAAGATATAGATCAACATGAAGCTAATTTATAAATATATATATATATACACAATTCAAACGAACATTTTAAAAAACTAACATATATTTCTAAAGACATATATTTCTAACTGACATACTATAAACTCAAACCTAAGGGCTAGAGAGCTGGTTCAGTGGTTAAGAGCACTGACTGTTCTTGCAGAGGACCCAAGTTCAATTCCCAGCACCCACGTGTCAACTAACAACCATCCTAACTCCAATTTCAAGGGATCTGACCTTGGGCACTGCACAACATGGGTGCATTCAGATGCATGCAGGCAATACATTCATACACATAAAATAAATTTTTAAAGGTCTTCTTAGATTGATGTGGAAGCAACTTGACATTTTCTTTTTTTATTAACTGGCTTTTAGAACATGTTGACAAGAATGCCTCATTTTGAATGATCTTAAACAAATCTCTGGACTGGGGCCGGGAATACCAGATCATTTGCAAACAGATGCATGTGGCTGTGAATAAATAGATTTATGCAAAAAAAAAACCCTGAAAAAACTAAAATAATACTTTAAAAAATACTATACTATTATTGAAAAATAAATGGGCAATTTATTCATCATCAACCTTCTAAGTGTACTGGCATTTTTCAAATGGAGACTGATGCTATATTTCCTGGTTCAAAGGTCAACAGAATCCTGAAGAGAGAAGACTGTGATACTAGCTCCTTGGATAAAAAAAGATAAGGAAGATGCCATTCACTGTTATCATCCTTTCCTCTTTTATCAGCAAGGGTGAAACTCATCTTTAACACAAATTATTTCCTGCTCTGAATTAGGAATAAGTAAGCTTTTCCTATAAAGAGGCAAATAGTAAATAAGTGAGGCTTTGTGTCACACAAATCTGTAATAGATTCTTTGTTGTCTTCTTTCTTTCCTTCTTACAATCCTTTAAAAATGTAAAAACCACAAAATAATAAATGAAGAAAAATACTTAAGAAAAACCATTTGTTAACACCTGGACTAATAAGTTTCATGATGCTATGATTTAAAAACTTTAGCTAGCCACAGAATCACTTCTATTCCTAAAGTATTTAGAAGAATAGCAATAACACTGACTTTAACATTGTGTGTGTCGGTGTTGCATTCACCAGAGCATGCAGGTGTATGAACCTATACACACACATGTGGAGGCAGAGAAGAACTCAGGGGACTTCAGGTGTCTTCCTCTATCAATCTCATCCTTATTGCCTTGAGAGAGTCTCTCATTAACTAGAAACCATTTTAGCTAACTTGGCCAGCAAGCTCTTGGGATTCACCTGTCTCTTCCCAGCCCCACAATGCTGGGGATACAGACACATGGCAGACTTGCCCAAGTTTTCATGTGGGTGCTAGGAATTCACACTCAGGTCCTCATGCTTACACAACAAGCATTCCTTATCAACTGAGCCATTTCCCCAGTCCCTGATTCTGACAATTGTGTTAAAGGATTACATAATTTTAACTTCTTTAGCAGTGACTGTCTACTCTACAGTGGGGATGATTTTTATGAGAAAGACTCTTTTTTGTCAATAATTTATGTCAATAGGCCAAAATACAAATACACAACAAGTTTTTAACAGCTGTGTTAACTATTTGTATATAAAACCTTTTTAAATTTTTTTATTGAATTTTTGTGTATTTCATCAGAACATCTCAAATAATCATCTTTATACCCCCCATCCCCATTGGCACCCTCCCATAATCCCCCTACTGGAGCCCATATACTCTGTCATCCGTGTTAAGGTGCACTGTGTCAAGTCTGTGGAAAGACTTTTTTTTTTTTTTTGGTCTTTTTGAGATAGGGTTTCCCTGTAGCCCCAGCTGGCCTAGAACTCACTATGTAGACCAGGCTGGCCTAGAACTCACAGAGATCCACCTGCATCTGCCTCCCAAGGGCTGGGATCAAAGGCGTGCACCACCACACCCACCTGCAAAGACTCTTTTTAACAAGTGTTTATAAATGAACTCCTACATAACCTTGTAACCCAAGTTAATCATGTCTTTTGAGAACATTTAGAAATGTGTGCGCTTTCTGAGAAAAACAATGTAATCAGCCCTACAATGATTTGGAATCCCAAACTAAGCTGAACTCACAGCTTTAATCTTATACTTGTTCCCTATTTGTGACACAGTTATGCCTCTGACTCAGAACAATGTATTGTGTGCATGAGGTGTGACAGCAATGACAATGAAAGCGTAATGTTGCAAACAAGGCCTTCCCCACAAATGTTGGAAGCAACATGTGGGAATAGGCTGATTACATCTTTGTGTGTGGTTTCTGAGTCAGCAGGATCAAAAACACAACTTCTTCCTTTGTAAAATTCTTACCAAACATTGCTCATGCCTTTCCCACACTATATTTGATATGTTGTTCAATAAGTATGAGAAGAACCTTTTGTTAGACAGAATAAAATAGAACAGATGCAGTTCTGAGAGAACAGTTCTGAGAGAAATCAGAACACTTCAGAACAGATCAGGCCAACTCTTGGTTAAACTACTCCAAGAGTAAAGAATTATTTAATCAGGCACCACTTACATTCCTTCTAATAGTTAAAAGTATATCAATAGTTAAAAATATATCAAGGGAAATAATAAATGTCATGATTCAAAAATATCAATCTCTCAGAAACAAAGAAATTAGATATTTCCTGAAAAGTAAGGCTAGGCTCCAATATTATTCTCTGGGCAAACACTTCTGGTTGATTCTCTATCCTGAACCTCATTCTCAATTTAAACTTTATAATGGAATATATGTTTCCATTAATGTCTCACTTGTTTATACAGTTTAGTTATGCAATAAAAATTTAATTGGTGTATGAATGGACATATATAGGATGTCCATTTCATAGGATATATTCATACATGTATATAAGGTACTTTGCCTATGTCCCCCCATACTCACTACCCTCCTCTTTTCTCCTCACCATCTCATTAGTACCCTTCATTCTGCTATACAGTTTCATTTCTATACTTGCATATATGATTTTACATAGCTATATATACACTAGGATCCAAAAGTAAGAGAAAACGTATTGTTTTAGTCTGATTTAATTTATTTAATATGATGACCTCCAGTTGCATCCATTTTCCTGCAAACAACATAATTCCATTCTTCTTTATGGCTGAATAAAACCCCATTATATGTATCTATCATATTTTCTTCATCTAGTCCTCTGTAGGCAGATACCTAGGTGGATTCCACAATTTATCTATTGTGAATAGTGCTCCAATAAACATCAATATGTAAGTATCTCTGTGATATATTGACTTAAAAGTCCTTCAGATAGGGATGGAGAGATGGTTCAGCAGCTAAGAGCACTGACTGCTCTTGCAGAGAACCCAGGTTCAATTCTCAACACCCACATGGCGGCTAACAACCATCCATAAGTAACTCCAGTTCTAGGGGATCCAACACCTTCTTTTGACCTCTGCAGGCATTTCACAACGCGGGTGTACTTACACACATGCAGGCAATAAACTTATACACATAAAAATATCACAATAGCTTCAAAAAACTTGAATTTAATCAAAGAAGTGAAAGAACTTTCTAATGAAATTTTAAATTTTTTACTGTGTGTAAATGCATGTGCACATATATTGAGATAGGAGGACAACTATATAGTCAGTTCTCTCCTTCCACCTTTGTGTTCGGTCTGGGGTGTAAATTCAGGTTACCAGACTTCTGTAGTAAGTTTACTTGCTGAACCATCTCATCAGTCCTCCAGTGAAAAATGTTAAAATGGTGAAGAAAGAAAATGAAGAGACTAGGGATGTAGCATAGATTTAGTGTTTGCCTAGTATGCAAAAGGCCCTGGGTTAAGTCCTCAGCAATTCATAAAGCCATGCATGGTGATACACATCTATAATCTCAGGACTCCATAGGTAGAGGCAGCAGGATCAGAAGTTCAAGGTCATCCACGGCTACAATAGGAGTTTGAGGCCAGCCTGGGCTACATGATACATAACACCTTGTCTCAAAAAAAAAAAAAAAAAAAAGAAATCTCATAGACATTTAAAATTGTACCCTAAGGAGGATGTCACTGTGATCCTTTATCTTCATGTAATGACAGAGTCTACAAAATTATAACGTTCATGGGTTGACATCAAATCTTTTTAAGTGCTTATACTCTGGAAGGGGGAGGGGATAGCAATGTTAGCAATGTACTAGCTGCTTTTCTCTAAGTGCCTTCTTTATCTTAGCATCACATTCATGTAACTAAATGCATAACACAATTGATGCCAGTGCCTTCACATCTACACTCGACAAAAATCAGAGCCTCAGAGGTACCTCAGAGTCCCTGAGAAGTCAAAAAAGAAATTCAAAAAGCTCCACAAGCAAATGCTAACCTAGACCCTTCTCTTATTCCCAGCAGTTTCCCCTCAAGTGAAATTGCCTCACTTTCATCTGTTACTGTCTGAAACACTAAAAGCATCATAAAATAAAATTAACCAATAACAGAAAAATATCCAAAAATCCCCATATTTAGAAACTAAACAAACAAAAATATGTTGAATTGAATAAAAATGAAATCAAAGTCTACCAATATGTAGGGGGTTGCATTTACATAGGTGTTTAAAAGGAAACACATCTATTTTCTTTCATACATAAAACATAGACCTAAAAAGTATATATGCATGCATGCCAGGAGTGGTGGCACATTCTTTAGTCCAGCACTTGGAAGCAGAGGCAGGCATATCTCTGTCTGGTCTACATAGTGAGTTCCAGGCCAAACAGGACTACAGGGAGATCCTATTTCAAAGAATCAAAACCACTGTGGGGTGTGTGTGTGTGTGTGTGTGAATACAAACACACAAAAGGAGAAGGGGACTATTTAGAAAAAAGGAAAGAAGTGGGGTGGGGGGGCAAGAGAAAGTGATGGAGGTTGAATATGAGTAAGGCAAATGATATACCTATCTTCAAATATCATAATGAAACTCATTATTTTGTATAATAATAAGAAAGCTGCTTTGGTTTGGTTTTTTTTTTTTAAAAAAAAAAAGGGGGTCTTCCCATTGCCCCAGCTGGCCTGGAACTCACTATGTAAACCAGGCTAGCCTCAATCTCACAGAGATCCACCTGCCTCTGCTTCCTGAGCTGGGCTCTAAAGGTGTGCACCACCATACATGGCTAAGAAAAACGTGTGTGTGTGTGTGTGTGTGTGTGTGTGTGTGTGTGTGTGTGTGTGTGGTCTTTTTTGAGACAGGGACTCCCTGTAGCCCCAGGTGGCCTGGAACTCCCTATATAGATGAGGCTGGCCTGGAAGTCACAGAGATCCGCCTGCCACTGCCTAAAGGCTTGCACCACCACACCCAGCCAGCCTAAGAGAGCTTTTTAAAAGAAATAGGAAATCCCTCCTCAGCCTTTTGGCTAATATCAAGTTTAGTATCTGTTCTTATCAGTTTAATATCTGACACACCCTCTAACCGAGGACAATATATTACCTGGACTTTTGGAACTAGGAGATGGAATAGGAGCTTGCTCCATCCACTCTAAGCATTGACCTGGTATTGTAGTATCTCGAGGAATGGTGCACCCCCTCAGGGGAGATTATGCAGTTGGGCGTGGTGGCGCATGCCTTTAATCCCAGCACTTGGGAGGCAGAGGCAGGAGGATCTCTGTGAGTTCAAAGCCAGCCTGGTCTACATAGTGAGTTCTAGGACAGCTGGGGCTACAGGGAGGTCCTATCTCAAAGATGAAAAAAAAAAAAAAAGGTAGCTATAAGTCCTTATAAGAGTAAAGAATAGTCTAGTTAATAGTATGTTTTTACCTTAATCATCAAGAGGAAGAAGTGAACTTCGCTTTAAAGTGAGCTTTTACTAGAATCTATTATAAATAGATGTAAGAAGTTCAATAGGAGTGAACTCACTGTAAGCAAATATAAAGAATGAATATCAAATATAAAAAAAGTAAAGAGAGCCTGGAGAGACCTGGAGGCACATGCCTTTAATTCCAACATTCAGGAGGTAGAGGCGGGTGGATCTCTGTGAGATGGAGGTCAGCCTGGTCCCCACAGTGAGTTCCAGGTTAGCTGTGACTATAGGGAAACCCTGTCTCAAAAAAGGAATGCATGAGGTCCAGTGGCAGGGGGTGTAGGGGCAAGGTTGGGGAAGGGGATCTAAATTTGGTTAGGAACTGTTGTATGAAATGCATAAAAGCTCAATAAAAAATATTTAAGACATACTATTTTATCATAACACTGGGTGTCTAGTATAGGAAATGTTCTATTTTTATTCCCCTTATCTTTCTGCATTAGTTTAGAGAACTCGTACATTTAATGAGGAACTGTTAATTGTGTAAGGATTGTGTTTTTCCTCTCAAATATATCAAGTAATGAACTTAAAAAATAAAAAATAAAA